CCACCGTATTTTCTTTAACTATTATCCGTTTGATATTAATTTTGGGATCAAAACAAACTTTTTAACCAAAAGTACTTTTAAACATCATTACCAAACAGACCTAAAAAAATGAGAGTAATCAAAAGTCGATCAAGGGTCGGATTGAATTTATTTTCTCATATAATTCAAAAGTATAATTGATTAATTTGAGAAAGAAATATTTAAACTTTAGTTCAATTATATAAAATATTAGGGGTGTTCATTATTCGGTTAAAATCGAATTAACCGAACTAACCGAAATTTTTATTGGTTAATCGGACGGTTAATTTTAGATTCGGTCGGTTAACGGTTAATTATTTTTTCAAACTTTGGTTTCGATTAGTTCAGTTCGAAATCAATTAATTAACTGAATTAACTAAAATTATTAAATATTTAATATATTACATAGGATGATTCTTCTACGCTTAACGAGCAGCGATGAGCACCACTGACGACGAGTACAATTACTTTAATTTATAAAAATTTAAATTCTAAAAGACTCAACTTATAATTATAAAATAGTTAAAAATTTAAAAATAAATTATTTAAAATAAGCGGTAAATTATACCACTAACCACCTAATTATTGACCCTTTTTATTTTGACCAATATTTTTGAATTTTTGTCAATCAGGTCACTCAACTATTGAAGTGGATTCAATTAAGTCATGTGTCGTTAATATTTAACGGAGAAGCTGATGTGGTAGTTAAAATATTTGGTATAATTGCAAATTTGGTCATTGTTACTTATATATTCTATCAATTTGGTCATAATTTTAAAATCAAAATAAAATTAACCCTCAAATCAAATGGTGCCAATATAATGACCCAAAATTTAACTTTTTATTTTAATTTATTTTAATTTTAAAAGTTACGACATATTATATATTTATAACAAAACAAAATTTACAACAAAACCTTTTTCTAAAAAATTGAATAAATCAAACAATAATTTATGATATTAAATTTAAAGCAAACTAAATTTATCACCTTTTTTTTATATAAGTCAATCTCTTAGTGCAAAATTTTTCATGCTAAGTCCACCGAGAATCTTATTAGTATAAAATTTTATTGAAGATGGACATAAAAATTTTATGGTTGGAGATGAATTTTTAAAATTTTAAAGGAAGATTGTGTTAAATGTGAAATAAATATATGTCACTTTCTTCTATTAGAAATTTACTAAATAATTTTTTTTTAGTTTTACAGATTATACTATATCACCTTTTTCTAGTAGAATGTCATTTACAATAGTAGTAGGATAAAAATTTTGTCCACCGAACTTTATATGCATGGGCTAATCAACTATATTTTCTTTCAAACCAAAAGAGATTATGATACCATTGACATGATGCTTTTGAGAACCATAAATGGAATTTCTAGTAAAAAATTTATTTTTTTATAAATATAAAATTTGTCGTAACTTTTAAAATATTTTAAAATTAAAAAATTTGAGGGTTAAGTTTATTTTAATTTTTTAAAATTAGGACCAATTTGATATAATATATAAGTAACAGTGACCAAATGTGTAATTATACAAAATATTTTAACCACCACATCAGTTTCTCTGTAAATATTAACGGTAAGTGGCTTAATTGAATGCATTTAAATAGTTAAGTGATATGATTGATAAAATTTTAAAAATATTGGTCAAAATGAAAAGAGACAATAATTAGTTGGTCACTTGTATAAGTTACTCTTTATTTTAAATAATTTATCTTTAAATTTTTATCTAATTTATAACTATACGTTTAGTTCTTTAGAATTTAAAATTTTACAAATTAAATTAATGATGCTCGTCATTAGTGGTGATCATCGTTGCTCGTCGAGCACCACTAAAGCTAAATATATATATATATATATATATATATTATAAATTTCGGTTAATTCGGTTAACTGATCAATTAACTGAATTTAGTTTGATTCAGTTAACTTTTTTTGAAAACAATTCAGTTTGGTTAAATGTTAAAAAAATTCGGTTAATGAAATTTGAGTAATTCGGTTCAATCGGTTAACCGAATTACCCGTTTAAACACCCCTATAAATTATTATCTGGATTTAGATTTAGACAAACAATTGAACCTTTAACAAAATAAATTATATATTTTTATGTCATTAATTTTTAAGAATGATAATGAATGAGTATATTTGACCTGTTAACCAAATTATTTATCTTTGCTTTTTTATATAAATAATTAAATTTATTTATATTTCTTTAATTTTAAAAATGATAATAGTATTATGTAAAAAATGATAATAATATAAATTCAAATATTTATACATACATATTTTAACTTTTTGCATATTTGAATAATATTTATAATAAAGATATGGGTTCACCATAAGTTCTTTGTTGTTTTCTGTGGAGTTATTTATTGACAAAACTATGCCAGTAAACGAACCAAAAGTTAAGCGAATCGTTCGGCGGAAAGTTCGTTTATTTATTAAACGAATGAACATAAATATAGATTTTGTGTTCGTTTAATTAAATGAATGAACATAATCAGATGACTCGTTCCTTCATTTACGTTCGTGAACGTTCGATAATATGTTCGTTCATTTATGTTCGTTTTTGTTTATTTATGTTTATTTATGTTCGCGTACTTTCATTTGTTTATGTTCGTTCATTTATGTTTAACTCAATCTCTCTAGACACATTTAAAATATTAAGACCCAATAAATTTTAATATAATACCCATTAATATTTTAAAATTCAATTAATTTTAAATAAAAATAAAAAACCCAAAACAATTAAATACAAATTAATTATGAAGTTGCAACTTAAACTAATGAATCTTATGTGATTATTGTTGTTGCGGTTTATGTTCATTTATGTTTGTTCGTTTGTGTTCGTTTACGTCCGTTTATTGTGTTTGTTTATGTTCGTTTACATCCGTTCGTTTATGTATGTTTATGTTTGTTCATTTGTGTTCGTTTATCATTTAAATGAACAAATATGAACGAACACGAACAAGCTATATTCTTTAACGAACGAACACAAATGATAATTTTTTTGTTCAGTTAAAGTTAATCGAACAAATATGAACATACCTCCGTTCGTATTCGTTCGATTCGTTTACAGGCCTTGTCATTACTCATTGAAAAACTTGCAAATTGATAGTTGTCCCATGTAGGGGTGTAAATGAGTCGAGTGAAACTCGAGTAGTGTTGAGCTCGACTTGACTCGAAAACTCTGAAATGAAGTTCGACTCGACTCGAAAACTCGCGAGCTTAATATTTTCAAGCTCGACTCGAACTCGAAATCCTGAATTGAAGCTCGTGAGCAGCTCGAAATAAAAAAAATCTTAAACTTAACTTAATTGAAGCCTTAAACTTAAACCTTAAATACATGAAAATCTTACTGTATTTAAAAAAAATCAATGCATAAATGTTAATATTATTAATAATTTATTTTTTTAAAATAAAATCTTAATATATTATGTTTTCGAGCTGTTCACGAGCTTTTCGAGTCGAATATCAAATAGCTCGTTTCGGCTTGTTAAGAACTCGAGTTGAGCTCGAGCTCGAGTCAAGTCCATTCGATCCGAGTATTTATCGAGTCAATCTCGAGTAGCTCGTGATCTGTCTCGTCTCATTTACAACCCTAGTCTCATGGTGGGATTGCAAAGTAGGAGAGTTTCGAAATGCAGCAAGGCAATGGCGAATCTAAGAGTTTAAAATTTTAATTTTTTTCCAAAAATTGGATATTTATTTTTCTTATTTTGTTATTTTCCTCTTAATACAATAAACTAATGTTAAGAAATTTTCTAAAATAATAAGTATATACTTGATTCCTTAAGAACTTAATTCATCCACCCCTATTTAAAGAGATGAAATCAAACTGAAAGGTTAGTTATATAAATGAACGTCAAACATTTAAGGTGAACGAATAAAGATATAATATTTTTAAATTTGTTCAAATAACAATATTTTTAATAATATTTTTTATTTTATCAATTAATTTGAGTAAATTTGAAAATAAACAATTATTATTTAATAAGTTTAATAAATAACCTCAAAAATTAGTTTTTGTTTAAACATTTAGCCTAAATGAATACTGACGAATTGAAAGGTATCACATGAGAATAGTATTGGATGCGTTGAAAGGTTTGTTAGATTTTGTAAATAGTATTTTTGTAATATCTTTGGAGAAATCTTTTAGAAATAGTATTTTTGTTGACGGTTACTTAAAATCTTATATTTTGTGGATTATCACAATTTTTCATTTAGACTTTTGACGGTTCATATGATTTATCATAGATAAAATATTTTTTAACAGTTGTAATCATTTTGTCTAAAGTAACTTATAGACAATCATCGATATCATAGGTTTGACACCAATCATCCTATAGTTAGAATATTTATACATCAAGAAAAAGATAAGGAAGAAGGTCTCCTTCTCCCTCCTTTTTCGATCTACTTGGATCTTGAGTAATCTTCTATCATACACAATCTCTCTCCTTTAATTTCCTATAATATGAAATCATCAATTTATGATCGTTCTTACCCCAGCTACGAGCCTGCAACTCTCTGTCCAAATCAAAAGGGATAAATTATAAACGACGGACACATCTACTTATTTTTAACAATAATTCTATAAACTTCTCATAAAGAATTAGAAATTCAACAACAATTTTGATCAAAATATAATAACCATATTCAAAATATTTTCAAATAAATATAAATATTAATCTTTAAATATTCATTATCTGAATTCATACTTATCCGGATAATATAATCCAAATTTGTTTTTCACCTATTTGTAAAATAAACTTGATTTATTTAATTAAATCGATGATGTTATTAAATTTAAGTAAATTTATTGAGTGATTTTAGTGGTAAAAGGAAAAGTCAACATTTAAAATCTAAGTTCGAGCAATGGTCTTTGTGTGCACGTTGTTAATAACTAAATAAAATTTTAAACAAATATCATCTTTTAAACACCTCAAATTATTTTTTATGAAAATAGATTTAAATACTAATATGAACTAAAATTCAATTGATATTAAAAAAAATATAGATTATTTGACCCACCATGATCCGGCCCAAAACATTTACATAGATTTCATACCAAAGGCAGGAAACATAAGTCTCAAACTGGGAATTCAGATTCATCCCATTGAAGAACAGCGGAATCTATGTCTTGTTCTCTTTTCAGTTTATCTTTCACAAACCAATCACATACCCTTCCAGCATTCAACTCCTCAATCGAACATCCTTCCTGTTCTGATATAACTCTTAGCAGATTTAAAGATGATATCTGCAAACAAATCCCAATTATTCATTCTTAAAATACATGTTAGACTAGAATTTATCAAGTCACGTCGTTACGTTAAAAAATAATGTTATTCTCCTTAAAAAAATCGAGTTCGAGCAGTCTATAAGATGTATAATAAAATTCTGAACAGATACTAGAAAGGAGAGGGTTTACCGTTAGTCGACAGAGGAACCTTTCATGAGTGCTTAAACCAGATATTTCAACCAATCCAGCTTCTTCTAGTGAAAGGAAACTCCTCCTTTCTGTCTTCTTAGAATCTTCTCCTCCTTGGCCATTACTGCATCCTCTTATTACAAGCTTTCTTGTAGTGAACAACTTGTTGTGTGGTGAAAAGCTGGTGCGGGTTTTGGTTAGTTTTTGAAGATTTCTGGGATTGGATAGCAATGGTGTTTGATAAAGGGTTGTACAAGGGAAGTGTAATATCATGCTTCCTGGTTATGTTTTTCAATCAGAACTGGAAAAATTAGGCAGTTTATGTGGAGGAGATGGAGATGAGAAGCATGGCTCTATCCGATCGAAGTAAATCAGCTTGTTGGTTTATGGGTCTTGGATCAATGGGATGTTAAGTGGGGCTAAACAATGGGTTAGGCTCAATTTCTCTTATGATCTGTATGTGAGTATTTTTAACAACTTGGCCCATTAATGAATCTCAATATGTATAAGGGAATAATGGCTATGCATATCATGTATGTCCGTATCATACTTGCCAAGCATGAGCTACTTTCAATCTTCTCAAATAGTCTCCTCGGTTGAAGATTTAAATTAAATATTCGAGTAGGTATCAAGCAGTAGTCAAGGAAAGCCTACGGTTCAATAAAACTTGATTTTATTTTAAAAAATATTTTTTAAAATTTATGAGTTATTTGAGTCAATTCGATATAGTGAACTAATTTTGAATTTTATTAAAATTTAGATTTTATTATTAAAAAAATTAAAGCTGAAATTTAAAATGATGTCGTTTAGATCAAGTTAAAAAAATATTTTTATATTTAATTAGATTTTTTAAAAATTAATTAAAACATTAAAAATTAAATTTTATGAGAATTTACAAAATTTAAAAGGGTCAACTTAAAATCTTTAAAAATTTGAGGGGTCAAATGTTGATTTTCCAACATTTAGCGGGGCCATGCCCCTCTGACCCTATTAGTTTGGGTGTCAGCAAAGGTAATAATTACATCATAAATATTGGAGAATGCATTAAGGTAATAATAGATTCTTTGGAATAATTTCAAGTAGTATTCTGCTCAACATTAAGATTCTTCATATGTTAATCAAATTAGAAAAAAAAATATGGGTAAATTATAAATTTAATAACTGAACTTTTATATGATTACTATTTTACTAACTGTACTTTCGAAAATTTTAATTTGCTCACTCAACTTTATAGGTTGAGTTTGGCTTAATACAAAAATAAGTGCCTAAAGAAAGCATCGAAAAACGTTTTAGTACCTAAATAATTTTTCGTTAAAAATATGTGCTTAAAGTTTTCTCCATTATATTTTTACGTGCTTACCGTTAAAAAAATCGTTAAGTGACACGTGTCATGTTCATATGTTAATCGACTAGGTTTTGGTCAGAAATATGATGCGATGTCGGTGGTGAGACGTACATAAGGTTGGACCATGCTATATTTGTCATTAATATTATATAATTTATTAATTCGTAAATATTAACTATGAGAGAATACAAATAAAATAAGTGATTTATTACAAAGTTAAAAGAATAAAAGAAATGATTATTTTAAAATTATCTATTTATTTTGGGGGTAATTTTGTCCAAAACCAAAGGAATTGTTAAATACCTAAGGTTGAAGAGGGAATGGGATTCCCATGAATCAAAGCAAAAAAAAAAATGTTATTATTGATATCAATTTCCCGTTAAAGGAAATGCTTTTGAACCAAACATAAGTATTTAATTCTCGAAACGATTATTACCTTGCTAATACTCTTTACCTTGATCCAAAAACTCTTAAGGGATCGTTTGGTTCATGGCATTTATGATTATCAGGAGAATGAAATCCTCATTCTCCCGTTTGGTTGGCCTATAATCTTATTAACGGTAATCTTTTATTACTAACAGTGGATTTTTTGGGGGTATATTATCGGGAATGTGATTACCCTCTTTCCTTAGGTATTGTTAGATTACCGGCGTTTTAAACTAAAATGCCCTTAATTTTTTTTCTCAAAATTATCCTTCTTATGTCGTTGAATAATAAAAATTCTAAGAAGATTAAATTACAAATTTATCCTTAAACATTTTAGATTTACAAAAAAAAGTTTATAATTAGAATTTTATATGAAGTTTAGGGGTTAAAATAAAATTTACCCTTTCATTAAACCTATTTATCTTTTCAATTTTGTAAAAAATTATATAAATTATATAAATTTAAATTTTTTAAAGAAAATATATAAATTAATTATAGTAATATTATAGTAGAATTCAACTTGTTAAAAACAAATATATAATAAGGACAATTTGGTAAAATATACATTCCAATAATCTTTTATTCCTTTAACCAAACACGATAATCTTACATTCCTGCTGAACGAACCAAACACAAAATACAACATTCTCAGTAATCATATTCTCTGTTAATCTTTTATTCCCACTGATAATCTTACATTCCTTGAACCAAACAGACCTAAGATTTGCATCTGTAAATTCCTATGTGATGATGGGAATATTAAAATATTAAAAAATATTAATAATTTAAGGACGGTAGGTTTGATTTGATGCAAAATTGCAAAGCTGGCTTATTATTGAAAATTAGAATAATATTGTTTTGTTAAGGTTAAACTGCACTAATAGTCTCTAAACTTTTAGAATACTTACATTTAAACATTTAATTTATTTTAATTAATATTGTAATTTATGTTATAGATAATTTTTATAGTATTTTATAATTTATATTATTATTAATATATTTATTATTATTTTATTCTTATCATTCATTCATTGATATTTTACTTTTGTAACCTAAATTATAAATAATATTTATAAAATTAATGTATTTTAATTGATGTTATAATTAATTTTAAGATTCGTTCTTATATTAATTTAAGATTTATATTATAATTAATATACTTTAATAAAATTAGTTTCAATCATACTTTAGTAAAAGTATAATTTTCATCAAAAAAATATATAATAATTTTGATGGATAAAATTATATGCGAAGCTGTCACATCAAATGCCGTTAAGTTCGATTACCAAAATATAAATGCCCTAAAAGTTAAGGGACTAACGTTACCGTTTACCCATTATAGTTAAGAAACCTTAATTCAATTATAGAGTGAGATTGTCTTAGGAAAGATAGACTAATATACAGCTAATATACAGCGTTACCGAATACATTAAAAGATATTTAATAAATTCGGTTTAGCGCTACCGGAAATATCGAGTAATAATAATGTAATAGGTGGAAATCATGAAGAAATATTAAAAAATTTGGCAACCAGCAAACTTAGTTTGTCGGTTTGTGTCGATACTTTATAAAAATATATTGATCCATAACAATATAACATGTAAAAAAATAACAAAACCGGTCTATAAATGACAAAACAGGTAAAGTGCTACCGGATATATTGAAAGTGTCGATACTTTATAAAAATGTATCGATCCATAACAATATAATAGGTAAAAAAATAACAAAACCGGTATATAAATGACAAAACAGGTAAAGCGCTACCGGATATATTGAAAGTGTCGATACTTTATAAAAATGTATCGATCCATAACAATATAATAGGTAAAAAAATGACAAAACCGGTATATAAATGACAAAACAGGTAAAGCGCTACCGGATATATTGAAAGTGTCGATACTTTATAAAAATGTATCGATCCATAACAATATAACAGATAAAAAAATGACAAAACCGGTCTATAAATGACAAAACAGGTAAAGCGCTACCGGATATATTGAAAGTGTCGATACTTTATAAAAATGTATCGATCCATAACAATATAACAGGTAAAAAATGACAAAACCGGTCTATAAATGACAAAACAAGTAAAGCGCTACCGGATATGTTGATAATGTCGATACTTTATTATAAGTATCGACACTTTTTGAATTTAAAAGAGAAGAAGTTATAGCGCTAATAAAGTGTCGATACTTTATAAAAATGTATCGATCCATAACAATATAACAGGTAAAAATATGACAAAACCGATCTCGAAATGACAAAACCGGTAAAGAACTATCGAATATGTTGAAAAGTGTCGATACTTTATTATAAGTATCGACACTTTTGGAATTTAAAAGAAAATAAGTTATAGCGCCAATAAAGTGTCGATACTTTATAAAAATGTATCGATCCATAACAATATAACAAGTAAAAATATGACAAAATCGGTCTCGAAATGACAAAATCGGTGGTAAAAAAGTGTGCTTGTGTGGTCATTTTTATTTCAGAAATTTCATTTTTAATACAAAAAGTTGGATATTTTAAGCAAAACCCAATAAGAAAAGAACAAAAACTTTACAGTAACAAAAGAATAATATTGGAAACCACCATGTTATCAGTTTCTCAAAGAACAAAAACCCATAAACAGATAAATTTACAATGTAACCGATAAAAATATACTGGTTAATTAGCAAATATGTTTACATTATGTATCGACACTCTTTAAATATGTGTCGATACTTTTTTCCCAAAGTGAAAGCACAACGAGGTGCACACATAAAATGTTGATACATTTAAAATTGTATCAATCCCAAAAACATCAAAACCGATAATTATAATATGATAGGTAAATTTGTAATGTTACCGGTTTAAATATACTTGTTTAGTTAGAAAATAGGTTAATATAAACATTACCTATTACCTTATATAAGCGCTACCTATTACATTATATAAGCGTTACCTATTACATTATATAAGCGCTACATAATATATTATTGTACTTGATAATATTTCCGATTAAATGATATAACATAACCGGTCTAAATTTTAATCGGTCACTTGTTTATCAGATCACGGAGAATGATCAACATATGCATATATATGTTCATATCACACAGGGATTTTAAAGCTAAAAAACATATGGGTTAATGTTTGAAGCAGCTTTTCTCATTTGCAGACATCAATCAGTGCTGAGTTAATGTTTCTGGTCTTTTGGATTTACATAAACGCATCTAAATAAGCTGGTACATCATTTGACAAATTCATGATGTTGTTGTGGAGATTGGATAATATGAACAACCTGGAAAATCAAGGGAGGGTCTTCTGCAAGCGCTTCAAGTCCGAACATTCTTCGCTCGTCGAAGAACGGGGTAACAGTGGAGTAGTAGACGATAATGGAACAACTTGATTTTCTTCACCGTCGCTGCTGTCCCCGCCATCGTTGCCTTCACTACTGTCCTCATCATCGACATCATCGTCATCGTGTGTTTCTTCGTTGTTTATCTCCTCTCTGGAATCATTTCGATCTACGCAGTCCTGGCAAACGGAAACGGTCGGGCCGAGCTTCGGTCCGGAGCCGGTCCAGGGTGTCGGAGACTGACAGATGTGACAGAGAAGAGTTCTTAAATGTTTAGCAACAAGAAAATTGGCACCGTGAACTATGGAATCACAATCCCAGCACAAGATGGCTTGATCTGATTCACAGAAAATCTTAGCTAAAGAATCACAGAGCTCACACTTTTTCATTTTTTCTCTCTCATTGAAGCTTGAATTTCCATGTTCATCAGCAATGTGTTTTACGCCTATATATGCTGTTTGACATATGCTCAAGGGCAACTTGTCAAATGTTTACATATGTATATAAATACCCTTTTCTGCTCTGTTTTTTAAATGTTAACATTTTGGTAATATCTTATATCTTTTTTAGATTTGGGAAATCTTTGTTTTAGGTTAGAAGTAATGCACCAGTAACATGCAGTGAACTATTGGCTGTGTTTGTTTGAAATTTGGTGAACGGTTGGCAATTTTATTAGAATAATAGCTCTTTACCTACAAAATATTGGATAAAAAACTGTATAAATTTTATTTTAAAAAAATGGGAACGTAATTATACAAGTACAAACACAAGTACGAATTGATTGTATGACAACAATGACATGTCTATATAGTTTTTATTTTAAATCACTCAATGAGTATATATTTATAAGACTATAAAAATCTATATATAAGCATACCTGATTTGAGAATATCATTAAAAAAATGGTTAATTTTAACCTATCAAAGACTTTTCTTAGATGGGATCTTAGTCATCCATGGGCAATAAGTACGATGGTTGTACGATTTCGTTAAGGGGTTTTCGGCAATAAGTTTGAGGATGAAAATAAATTTGTTGGTCAACCAAAGAAACTAGTGGTTGAGGTTGAGGAGTAAAAGAAAGAGGAGAGATTCTAGTTGCTTTGGAGGCCGTGAAGATGAGCTTCGTCAGGCTTTTGATACTCGGCATGGGGTCGTGGACCTGCACCATATTCTACAAGCCTTCATGTTGTTGTAGGTCGTGTTATGTGGACGAATTGATTTGAATTTATAAAATTATGATTCGAACTAAATCATGTTAAATTTTTTAATTTTAATTTTAATTCAAAATTCAAAATTTTCCTGTTAGTGGAAAAAAAAATTACCCTTATTTGTGGGCATGAAATTGAGCGATGTAAAGCTTCAAATCATCTCTTTACCATTCACCACCAAATTAACTAATGAACGGAGGACAACTACAAAGAAAATGGGGTGGGCATGGGGGCAAGATTCGGTTAGATAATTTACTTGGCATGAGATTCATACCACCCATTCTATCCAATTAAGAATCTATTGCATGGCTCAGGTGGGAAGTCCATCATGCATGCTTTTAGACTTTTTAACACAAACAATGTGGTCTACTTTTCATATTAGATCAGAGCCTACCCTTCACGTATTTTCTAACATACGATGATATGACATATACATATTCATTTTTTTAAATAAAAAATATACCTTATCAGACAAAAAATGTAAAGATGTATACGTTAATAATTTCCTAAGCGGAAAAATAACTAAATGATATCGAACACATAATAGAATACATACAAGGTACAAGAATTAACGTGGCTTAACATTATCTATCTCAACGGATGAAAATAATTATAATAATATACTATAAACGTAAAGATCACGAAGGGTACAAATACATCACATCTCACATATCTTAAACTCCAATATCTACGATTATATATAAGATAAGCTATGGCTTACGAATAACTTTCGAATTGTCTGAAATATGATTAGATGTGTGTATGATTGATTCAAATGAATTGTAATGTTTTAAAATTATTTAGATATAAAATTCTTAAGACTCGACTAATCAAGTAAGAGTATTTTGTATAAGTATTAATTATATGAATGTATGATCATAATGAAAGTATGTTTAGTATGCAATATGTATGAGATAAAAAAGTATGACATGCTTTGTGACGATTGATGTGTATATGAAATTAAATGCATTATAGCTACGTTAATTCGACTATATCAATATATTTAATTTTTCTTAGTAGTATGAGTGATACAAAGTAGTATTTGTTCATAATTTTCTTAACATATTGACAACATACACCTCGAATACGTATCTGCTTGAATCCAAGATCACTAGGAAGAATAATCTTCCCTTTTACCACTGATGTTACTTGATGAATTTTCAATATGTTTAATTTTCCTTCGTATCTGTATGTATTATATAATATATGATATATTGATAGTGTTTCGATATGATGTTTGAGGTAAAACATGCTTATATGCCTATATGATATGTCTAAAATATGAATTATATACTAAAGTGATTATTTGTATATATTTAACATGCTTGTATGTCTAAATAACGGAGATGAGATTCAATCATAAATACGAAAAAGAAAACTTTAAAATGTTCTGGTTACAAGAACGATTGAATATACATGTTTTGGATTATAGCTTAAATTAATGGTACGAATATATATACAACAAATTACACTGTCATTGTGATCTCTCTCTCTATATATATATACCACACACAAAGTATTTAATAAATAACAGTAAATTTAAGTTGATGAGAGATAATCGAAGATTTTTTAATAAAAATAATTAGTTTTTTTTAATTTCATTTATTAAAGTTTAAAGATAATTTAAGGTTATTTTTTTTAGGAAAAAAATTATTTTAGTTCATCTACACTCTGATTTTAATAAAAAAAAAATCATGCTATGTTCTATGATTAATCTATGTCATTTGATAATGTCTTATACGTGATCATTGGTGGGTCTGGTCATGATTAATATGACAAAAACTGTTGATGAATGAAATGGTTATAGAATATCTATTGTATGATAGCAAATTTTGAACTCTTAAGGTTATACTTATTCATAAACATATGTTGCCCATATGAGATATTATTAGATTAAAATTCATAATTTTGGGTACATATGTATAATATATAACCTTATTATAAGGTATAACATAAAATTAAATGACAAATTAATTCATATGTACCATATGTATTAAAGTGTTATGAAAATAAAGTGTATATACCATAAATTATATTTATAATTTGATGATGAACAGAATTATAAATACTTAACATGAACTAAGGTCTGTTTGTTTCCCGTAATTGGAATTACGGAATTGGTTTTCCCCGAATTCCCGTGTTTGTTTCACGTAATTCGTTTTCCGAAAAATGTTTTCCCGTGTTTGTTTCACGTAATTCGTTTTCCGGAAAACGTTTTCCCGTGTTTGTTTCACGTAATTCGTTTTCCGGAATGTAATTCATTTTCCTAGTAACAGAATTTCCTTTGTGTTTTCTGTAAAATGACTTACGGATTCATTTTCCGTAAGTCATTTTCCGAACTTTTCACTTCAAAGTAAAAATACTCAAAATAATTTTTATTTTATGAATTTAATATTAATAAAATATTTTAATTTCATTTTTATCAAAATATTAATTATTAAAATATTTAAAAATATATTTATTAATATTTATAATAATATAATATTATATTTTTAATATTATAATAAAATAATCAATTATATTATAATAATATAATATAAAGATATTATATTTTTATTTTAATTAATATATAATAATTTTTATATATTTAATAATGAATAATATTATTTATATATTTAATATTAATATAATACTATTTAATAATAAATAAATTATTTTAATATTTTAAAATAATAATATTAAGTTTTATGATAAATAATATTATTTATTATATTTAATATTTGTAATAAATAATTTTTAAAAAACTCATCAACTAGTGAAAAAAATATTTAAATAACATCTTCCAAACATCATAAAACGTTTTCGAGATGTTTTTCAAAAAAATATAATTCATTTTATGGAAAACGTTTTCAAAAAATGTAATTCATTTTCTAGAATTCAAATTTCAGTAATTCATTTTTCAGAAAATCAATTATAGCCAAACAAACATACCCTAATATTCAATGTATATAAAACTATAATGTTTTCCATGAAATATGTTAGCTTAAATCATTCTTATCACGTCAGATAATTTTTACTGCTAAAGAAAATTATCTTTTTATAATATCACAACTACATTCTCAATTATTTTCAGAAAAAAATTCAGATACATTTTTATATATAATATTTTATTTTAAATAATTTGATATAATAAATCTTGATATTAGCTTCATAGCTATTTAATTTTGGTTCTAACGCTTAGAAATTTGGAGTGGAGCAATAAATGAGGAAGGTGACAAAGAGGGTGGCATGAAATATGAAAATCCCATAAATCCCAGGCCAGGATATGTAATGACGACTAAAAAGGGTCCAAAACCTGGAAATAGGGTGTCGTGCTCATTTTGCTCGTGTGCGTCTTGGCGTTTGGCCGGAGAAATGACAACCTGCGGCAATTGCAAATAAGGACATTTTTCTACCTGGACGGATATATAATTTTATATTGGGAGAGTATATTTATAAAAAAAATTAAGAAAACAAAATCAAATTATTTACAAAAAGATACAAAAATCTAAGAAATAAAAAAATTTAAAAAAAAAATTAGAGGATAATATTCCGAAAAAAGTAAAGATAACAAAAAAAAAGAAAGTCAAAAGATATCTTCCCCATTTACATGCAACGAAAATAAAGTCAAAGAAAAAAAACCCTCTATATAGCAACAACCATCAACATATCAAAAGAGAAAGAAGAGAGCAACACAACAAAAAAATCGGAGACAAAAAATGGATTTTCGGGGAAATCGAGAGCCCCTTTCGAATATAAAAAAGAACTAAAGAAAGAGGAAAAGGAGAAGAAGCTTACCATGCCCCTTCGCTCACGAGAAACCAAACATCGCCGGAAGCCACCGATTTTTTGAAGGTCATCCCTTTGGTTTTGTGTAGATCTAGGACGGTCGGGGTATCTTTAGGCTTAAGGGTGTTTGGATTTGAGTTTAGGGAAGAGAGGGGTTAATTTCCGTACTCCGACTGTCGTGGAAAGCGACGGAGGGCTCCGACGAGCGTTGGTAAGAGGCTACCGACCTTCCCCAAAGAGAAAATGCTTTCTCTCCTTTTAGAGAGAGAATGAAAATGAGATGGTTGAGCCATTTTCGGTCGATTTTTGGGTATTTATACCCACCCGAGGATGACGCCATTTTAGGGGGAGGGATTGTGCGTTTTAGCCACATGGGAAAATCATTCCCGCAGTCCTTGTGTATTATAACTTTACATTTT